TTCTCCCCATGCACAGTATAGGAAGTTTTAGAGAGAAACTCTGAAGTTTTGATTTCACTTTGAGGACCAAGCCTTAGAAATGTAAAGGTTGCAATGCCTAACTTGCAGGTGCTGAATTCCCTTTTGATCTGGCCCGTACTCTATTAAGTAAATCACTAGGAGTTTGCTTCCTTCCTGCTTTTTAGGAAACTGAGCCTTCTCTTGGGCAAGCAGAATGGGCTGGTATGAGTATTCGTAAGTCACGGGAACTTCCAACTTCTTTCTTTACCTCATATGTTCCTTTCCATAATATAGCTGCTGTTTATTCCTTGGAAGTATTGTGCAGACTGTCTTTTCAATCCTACATTGCTGTACAGTCCTAGTCTTGAAGCAGTACTTTGGTGTTGTGCAGATTTCATCTCTCTGAAGACAGCCTCTTTAGCGTTTAGCAAGTAAGCATTTGAGTCTGCTCCCAGATCTGGGTCACACATGGTAACAATTAGGTCAGCATAATTTTTATTTGTGGTGACATATAATCTTTTTTGAAAGACTTTGGTAAATTTTCCTTGTTCCACAGTGGAGAGTGGAATATGTGACCTCTTCTGAAATTCTTTTCATTAGGTCCATGTAGCAAAATGTGAGCTTAGACAAATTACAGTTCCAATTCATAAGCAAGCTTGGCAAAGGTTTTCAGACAAATTATTCTTGAGGAATGCCTTGCACTCTGTTTCATCTAGTCATACTGTTAGTTTCTTGTTTACGAATGAGTTGACTGTGTAACTAGCCGGTTGAAGCTAGTTATACAGTTAATATTTTCATTACCAGTTCTCTCATTTGAATTATCTTGGTAGTGACAAAAAGGTAACATTTGCTGGCTGTTTGGTTCCTGAGTGAAATGAGTTGACAGTCTCTGTCCGCTTTCCCAGGGTTGTGTGTTCATTTCACAAACAGATCACTACAAATGGCATCTAGTTGGCAGTGGTATCAGCAGCACAAAGACTCAGGCTGGGAGAGCAACTACCTACCTCCCAATAGGGAGAGACACATTCTCTAGTTCAAGGTTGTGACACGTTGATGGGGCAGCATGGGCAACACATGCTGCCATTGAAATTGGTTTATCCTGCCTTGCTGTTCAGGTCTTCTCTTCACAGAATGGTTTCCAGTCTTCTCAACTGGGAACCATTCGAAAGCACCGAATGCACTTGTATATATGTAAAAGTGTGCTGTCCTTTCTAATGTCAGTCCTTAATACTATTCATTTCTAGTGCAACTGAAAGTAGTTGGAAAAAATAGACAGGCGTGTTGTTTACCCTCTTTCAGAAAGCCAGGACCAAGCATGCAGAGGAACCCAATAAATGTAGCATTCAGAGTATTGCCGATCAGGTGCAGAGGATCTGTGCATAAGTACAGTTCTTTGCATACACGAACATTCATCTTTAGATCAGTTCTTCATGTGCTAAATACCTCACTTGATACAAGAACCATTTTGTAATAATTAGCATAAACCTATGGCAACTAATGAAACTTCTGAAACGTCACTTTGAGAAGTAGATTTTCTGTCTCAGCAAGGAGTAAAAATGACAAATATAAAAACAAAATTTGTAGATGGAGATCAGCGTTTTTGTCTCACATTGTACAGATAGACTTTCCTAAAGCAGTGTACTAAATTATTTGTTGTTGTTGGATAAAGCAGAACAATTTATCCCTGGTGAAGTAATGAAGTTATTGGAGTTACACCAAGCGTGAATATGTCACAATACGTTCACCTGGTCAGCTCACGTTAAAGCTGACAGTCAAGACAAAATTTTTACTGTGCTGTGTAGCGTGTGTCCCTTGAACCACCACTAATTTGCTCAAACACTTTTATTTTTTCTAGGCGGTAGTTGAAATCAGTTTTCAACAGGCTTTCTTCAAGTTTTCCATTAGCAGGCAGCATGGAATTAGGTGGTAGTTCTTTAAATTGGATTTATATACTTGGACTATTTTTATAGGTTTCTGTCTTATAAAACTGGAGAGTTGACATTGTGATTTATTAACTATCAACTCTACAGGACATAGCGGCTTTAAAAAGATTGAATGAGCTGTAATGTTTTTGATTCAAGTCTAGGATGAGAGATGTAAAAAGGTGTGCCAAGTAAATATGACAAAATTAAAGTGATAATTTGAATACATGCATTTAAATTATATGTTAAGTAAAGCAAAGCTAGCATAGCATTAAATGCAACTTATCTGGCTGGATAGCAGTATAAAGAACCAGAATTATGGTTATTTTTCCTCACAATACATTTTTATTAAAGGAAGAGATTGTAAAACATAAGATTCAATGAACTGTACTTTACTGAGTGAACATAGTCCAGATGATGACTTACAATACGATGAGTTTACTGAATGATATTTGTTATTACCAAGCCCTTAAATTCATTACTTCTGCACTAGTAGCAGATCCAATTTGTTAAAGTGGATATACTATGTAAATTTTCTAATGCAAATACTCACACACACACATGCAGGTGTGTGTGTGTGGGGGGGAGGTGTCTATATGATCGCATGCTCAGGTTCTTTGACTGTTATCCATTATAACAGTATAACAGTCAAAGAACCTGAAAATGAGTAGATCATTTTATTGTTAAGAGAGAGGCTACAATATACCACAATCAGAAGCATTGATTTTTTTAATATTTTTATTGGAATCCATGCTATGAGTGCCAGTGGAAAACTGCAGAGCATTTTATACCAGTTGATTTATGCTATCGGGTTCAGTACTGAAGATGTTTGAAAATGTGTATTTTCAATGGATGGTGGTAATAAAAGCCTGCAGATATTATATATCTGAAGTGCTTGTAATACAATTTATTCAACATGAAAATGGGGTATTTCTTGGCTTGTTTCATTTTGTGAGTATTGGTTGGCATTAATCTTTTTGGACCCCATCCCATACTACAAACAATTGATCTGTGTAATCACCAGTGTTTCCTTAATGAGTTGAAGTACAGACACATGCAAAAGAACCTGATAAAATCTCATTTAAAATTTTGGTCAAGAACAGATATCATTAGCCCTGTTTCAGCGACCAGCTTCTGTGGAATCAGTTCAGACCGTGTGCAACGTGGAACTTCCTTCTGCTAGAAGAGTCTGTGAATTCCATTTTTATTGCAGTTTTGTCTTTTGGGTTCAGTTTTAATAACATTCTTGCCTATTGACACATTTGAATAAAACAGATGTGTGGAAGGAGGCAAAATTGCCACATCAGCCTTATAGCATGTTTTGAAATGCTTTGTCATGCACAGTGTTCTGGAATTAGGGACACGCAGTATGTCCATACTGCTGTGACTGTAGCTGGTGCTACAACTAGCTAGCTCAGTTATTGCTACAAGCATGGCAATGGAAGAACAGAGCCCAGTTTAGTTTGCACACTTACCTACAAAGCTAATTAAATAATTGGATGCCTCCCCAGTGCTGGACTGCATGCTACCACAGCTCTGTTCCTCTCAGTACTTGAGTTAGCTAGTTTAAAGTCTGCACAAGCTGTGGTGTAGATTCATCTACTATGAAGTTATAGATCTTGATTCCCATCTTCGTGAACTAGTTTTACCCTGGGGTACCTCCAGTGCCACTAGAGGATTTCATCCTGCCGCATGTGAAAGAAAGTCAGGTCTGTAATGCACATATCTATTTTTAAACTTCCAGTTTATTCTCCAAATAAATTCCTTCCCCTTTGTTGTTAAATTCACACATTCATATTACTTAAACCTTAGAAAAAATTGAAATAAAAAGTTTCAAATAAAGAAGACTGAAACATCTAAATATTAGATACATGAAGTTAACCTCTCAAGTGGAACTGGCAGAACTCAAGGCTTAATATTTTCTAAGGGAATTGACTTTGTTTAGTCTGAGTTCAGTAAAACTACTCACTACTTAAAGCAAAAACTACCCTACTCACATGCTAGAATTTTCATGTAGTCAGGAGCCTTAAATCAGAGCATTTTTGATGTTGCAGAGATTGTTTTCTAGAAGAAACACTGAAAATTTAAATTCAGCACAAGACTTTTTTAATATGAAATAATTAATTTGCCAGTTTTTAATGTACTGAGGATCTAGTTTAAAAGATGGTCAAAAAGGCCAACCATACCTTGTCATGCATCCACAGATGCATCTCAAGCAGGTCCATGGAGGTGATCCTCCCCCTCTATGCGGCACTGGTCAGGCCACAGCTGAAGTAGTGCATCCAGTTCTGGGCGCCGCACTTCAAGAGGGATGTGGACAACATGGAGAGGGTCCAGAGGAGGGCCACTCGTATGATCAGGGGGCAGCAGGGCAGGCCTTATGAGGAGAGGCTACAGGACCTGAACCTCTTCAGCCTCCACAAGAGAAGGCTGAGGGGGGATCTAGTGGCCTGTTACAAACTAGTCAGAGGGGACCAGCAGGCACTGGGGGAGTCCCTGTTCCCCCGAGCACTGCCAGGAGTGACCAGGAATAACAGTCACAAGCTGGCAGAGGGAAGGTTTAGGTTAGACATCAGGAGGCGCTACTTCACGGTCAGGGCGGCTAGGATCTGGAACCAACTTCCAAGAGAAGTGGTGCTGGCTCCTACCCTGGGGGTCTTTAAGAGGAGGCTAGATGTACACCTTGCTGGGGTTGTTTGACCCCAGTAGTCTTTCCTGTCATGGCAGGGGGTCGGACTAAATGATCTGCTCAGGTCCCTTCCGACCCTAGAAACTATGAAACTATGAAATCCTAACAAGTTTGTGTGATGAAGACTTAGAGATTCTTACCACACACACACACACACACACACACACACACACACACACGAAGATGGTACGACAGTATCTTCGGAGGGTTTATTCATTGCTGCATTTCATGATAAAAAAACCCACATTAATATAATGAGAAGTGTCAGGGATAACTTGAAGTGAGAGCTATGATAATTAAATGTATCTTAATAAATGCAAGACAATTCCTTTAAAATCTGTCCTTAGACCATTAGAACTTACAATGGAGTATATTCTCCCTTTTGGCAGGAGGCCTAGGAGGGGATCTGGAGAATGATACGAAGGATAGCCGGGCCCTGGAGGAGAGGAACAGCGTGACAAGTCAGGAAGAGAGAAATGAGGAAGATGAAGACATGGAGGATGAGTCAATTTACACCTGCGATAACTGTCAGCAGGACTTCGATTCACTGGCAGACCTGACTGAACATAGGGCACACAACTGTCCTGGAGGTAATGTTAAACTAGCTTTACAATTCTGACAGGTGGTTAGCTGGGTAATTGGACATAGCAACAGCTTGAGGCCTCAAGTGAGATTAAAGAATTAATAATGTAATTTTACAGTTAATGTAATTTTATTGTGGTGCCTTGGGTAGCCTTTGTTCACTTTTTTAATAAAATTAAAATAAAAGCAACAGCTTTCCAATTGGAATCTCTCAGTAATTATGTTAGACAAAAATGCTGTGTTTTTTATTAGCACCAAAAGTTTCAGACAGGCTTTTTTCTCCAAATGAAGAATGTTTATTAATACAAAGTTAAATTTACAAAACTCCATGGAAGGAATGCTTCTGAAGCCCTTAAGTGGACATGGCAGTTTCTGAGATGAATTTATTAATGTGAGTTTTGTAATCCCATTTTAAACATTTGCCGTACTGCTGCTTAATAGGTTATTGCTGCATTTTTGGAAGTATAAGAACATGGCAATAGGTTTCATCATAAATTGGTCTTGATTTTACTTTATGAAAAGAAATAACAAGCTCAAAGCATTGGTGTGAGCAGTTCAACATATTTTGCTTTTACACGGCACTTTCTATGACAGTGAGATCAGCAGGTGTTCTGCAAAGCACGTTAACCTGATTTATGGGCCAGTGCACATATATTTGCAGGTTTAACCAAAGATGTAAATAAGATAAGCACAAATTATATTCATGTGAATTTAAACCAGAGAACCTAATCCTTACCTTTCCCAGAATAAAATAGCCATCACTTATTCCTACCATATCCATCCAAGACCTTTTTTTGCCAGTTCCAACTGTGAGCAAAATGGCTAGGTTATGAGCCAGGTCATAGAGGAAAGTTTCCTCTTTTGTGTGGATCTCTAGAACTTCAACCAGTCTCACCTCTTTTCATTTATTTGGTGAGTAATCTATATTTTCTTTCCCCTCTGGATTGGTGTAATTATTCTGAGCCATGAATAAATACAGGAAACTTATAAAACAGGTTGGGGAACCTACAGCTTTTGAGAAGCTTAGGTGTATCATCCTTCAAGGATTTCTCAGGGGATTCATGGTTTGGCTGTAGCTCCATCTGTTCTTTAACATGTGCCTATAGCTTCTTTCTCTCTGTGCTACTCTTATGGCTGTTTAGAGAAAGGAGTTCCCTTTTTCACTTCTTTCTATATACTGGAGGGAATGGAAAAGGAAATTCTATCCAGCTCATTCTTATCTTGCACTGGACAGAGATTGTAAAGTGCAGTGTGATTCAAGTGCTTCTTGCTCTGCAGCTTGTTCTGTATCATGCACCCATACCACAGTGTTCTGCTCATCCCATGCTCTATTCTTGCTCTGTTTATACCAAGCAAAATACGTGGTGAAAGTCTGAGGCTCCATAAAATCTTGAAGTGACCAACTTCAGTGTCACTCTTCACCACCTTATAACTATCATATTAACCACAGTGCATTTTTAAGGTGCACTAAGTATGGGTATGCAAATGACATTGTTTAGGGGTCAGCAATCTTTTAGTAGCAATAGGCCGAGTTTAGTGTAGCTTGCTCTGACGATGGGCTGCCATTCGTCTTGTTGGTGCCACGCTCCCAACATGGCAGCTCCTTGGACTTGGCGCCATACTCCTGATCTGGCAGCTGGTCTCCTTGCTGCTGAATAGCCACTATTGTCCTCTGCCACAGAGTTACTGCCAGTGTCTCAGCGTCACAGACTAGGTGACATTGCTTGTTTAGCTAGGTCCAGCTTGTGGTTTGTAGTTTGCTGATCCCTTGGCGTTGTTCATTCATATGTGACTTCATGGCATCCACTGAAAATGACTCCATGCTGTAGAATGCGACAGCTGAAAATGAAATCAGAATTGCAGAATCAGTATAAAATTAACGTGTGGAAATGTGACAACTCCCCCCCAAAAAAACCCAAAAAACAAGCAAGCAAATAGGACATTGATTATTGTCAATATTTTTAGGCCACAAGTGCCGTTTTGCTAGTGAGATATATAGTTGAAACTGAGAACTATATACTTTTGTGGGAACTGCTGAAACAAGATATATCAAGCTCTGACAGCTGGTTTTTTAATTGCAGCTAACACGATGCATATAACTGTATTGTCTTTGCTGGTACACAAAAAAAAGACATTTTGGTATAAAAAACAAAAACTCATGATTAACTTCAAGTGTGGAAATTCTCATTCCAGAATAAATGTAATCTTCCAGGTTAATTTAATCAAAGTGGACAGCAAATGCATTTAAGTTAAATGGGAAAAAGTACCCTTTTTCCAGATTAAGAATGTCCACACATGGACTTAATCAACACTTTGAATTTACATCCTACTTCAATGAGAAACAACTTGCAAATGCAGACACACTCTAAGCTGTTGTTTCACAAAAATAAAAATATTTCACATAAAGCGCAATCTAAACAAATCTCAAAATTCAGTAGAAAAGGATTATATGAGGAGAGTAAAAAAAATGTAAAGTAGCGTTAGGTAATACCATATTTGTCAAACTATTTTACTATAAAGTAAATTACATTTAGGTTAGATGCACTACATTCCTTTTATTTTCAGTGCCTGTCTGACACATGAGATTGTAATGTAGTGTCTGACCTCTTGGCAAGTTAGAATTTCATGTCTTAATCTGAAGCAGTGTTTTCAATAGTGCCTACATGGGTCTAGATCAATACAGGTAATATTTGTGCTGATAATATTACAAGGCTGGTAATAGAACATAACTAATGACTTCCTTTGGGATACTGAAGTTAGAAAGATCTTGCAACTCAGGAGTATTGCAGGATTGTAAGAGATCACTCCAAAGAATAGCATAAACCATCTATTTCATTGGAATCCCTTAGAAATTCATTACAGTACGCTAAAGTTATAATACACTTTGAAAGCAGCTTCTTTGACACAAAAAGAAGCAGCAAACAGCCATTTTCCCTCTCGCTTTTTCATGTACTTCAGACTTATTTCTTTGAAGACAAAAACATTGTGGAAATCTAGACATCTCTTGCAGCATACATGTGTAATTCTCTTTTTGATGTCAATAGCAAGTGGATGTTCTGTTTCTGACAGAACTTGGGGGCCTTTTGCACCTTTTACTCCTGACTGATGTCTGTGGTTGCAGGTTGTAGATTCACAATCTGTATGGGGATTCTGAAATTGGTGTAAGTAGAGATATTTGCTTTGATGGGACATTGGGTTCCCTGTCTGGGTCATCCCATCTGCCTTGTCTTCCCTCTGAAAAGTGGTCTTGGAAATTAAACCCTAAACCAGTTCAACAGCAACTCTATAAATTCCCCCCAAATAAATGGGAACACTGAGCATATATATTGGGTGTTGGTAGTTTTAAAAATTAATTTAATGTCTGTCCTTTTTCTACCTTCCTTTTTAAGGAAGACTAAACACTGTTACTCAAAACAGCCTTGTGGTTTCTTTTGTTAAACCAATTTTTTTTGCACACCGATTTTTATACCTTAGATTGTCGACAGCAGTAAAATTCAAACATGGACTTACAAATTATTGTGTCCCCTCTGGCCAGTACCAGATGCTGCATGCATCAAGCAACTATTCTGCAACATATCATTATCTTGTGGCTGATGCTGAGTTATTTCTTGTCTGATGAAAAGTAGTTAAGAAGCCCCGAGCTTTGCTATACAAGTGTATGTGCTTTTTTTTTATAAACATGCATGAGTCTTTTTTTTTCTTTTTTCAGCATTTTAGCACTTTTCTCAAATTAAAAATAAAACTGCACTTCTTTAGCAAATTATTTTTTCTCCATCTGCCAGATCACCACCCTCTCATGCACCCTATTGGGTCTACGTGCCCATTTGTTATCTTCCTTTTTCTTCAATTTCTCAACTGAATATGGAGTATTTTTTAGCAAGTTAGCACATCAATGAACTGGACAGGAATAGGTTATGTTGGGGTCCCTGAGCATTTCATGAGGTCCTCTTCTGTTGTTGATAACTTTACAGGTTGTCTGTTTCAAACAGCAGCAGAGCTATATATGGATATTGCCAGCTTGGAAGTGGCTGATTTTTCTAAACTACTGTACGGTAGGAACTAGTTTATAATTAAAGTCTTGCAGTTGCTCCTTTTAAATGCCCTGTAACTTGTACATTAGGCTTACATTTTAAATGAGGTATTGTAACTGTTTCATGCTAGTGTATAATTTTTCATTTTCTTGTATTCACCTGCTACAGAGAACTATAATTGTCTTGCAACTGTGTATGCAGGATGCTCACCCAACAACCCCTATATGGCAGCCTATAAAACCAGTGACTACATCTCATGAATGTAATTCTTATGTAGTACTTTGTATTTTACACTTACAAAAACAGACTTCTCAGATGCACCCCCCAAATTACAATGTTTTGCTGTACCTGATTGGCACTTTCTAGGTTATTTTTCTTTCTTTCTTTTTTCCTAAATATTACTGGATTACTGATCACTCTTCACAGAGGAAAGTAAAATGCTGTTGTGTAAAAGCAGTATAGAAAGTTAATTATACACCTAGTTTATACAGCTGTGGCTCTAATGACCTACTGGCCCTAATTACTGTGTTGCAGTTCAGTCTGAGTGCTCTTGCCTGTGCCAGAGCCCTTTTTCTTTCTCTTAACCTGGCTAGTGTTTCAATATAAAAAATAACAAATTTCCCCCACCTTTTTTTCTGGTGCCGGAATATAGTTTTCCTCCTTTCCACAGATCGTTGTAGAACGTGTTAAAATTGGCACCAGAAAAGCCCTGCTAACATTGAAAACAGTGTAGCAACATGGACTTCTTTTAGAGTTCTCACTTCTCAGCGTAAGGATCTGAAAGTGGGCACTGGGAGAGTTAAATGTTTATTATCATGTTGCTGGAAGGGCTATTAACACAGGGCACTGTCTTTTTTGGTCACAGGCAATAACACCTCCAGATGTAAGGATAATAAGGTGCTGGAGCAGCTTCTGGCTGTCCTTAACAACTAGGCATTTTGTGTTTGACCCTGTATTCAGTATATATGTTCCCTGGAATAAGAGAGCAAAATGCAGTCTGATTGCATACCACCATTGACAGAATAGAAGGAGCCTCATCTTGCGAGGTGCTGAGAAGCCAGTTAGTGCTGAGGGCTCTAAGCTCCTCACTGAAATTGCCAAAGCTATGCTAGTTGAAATGCCTGAGGACCAAGCAGAACAGATTGCTATTACACAGATAATAGTTAAGTATATGTGGGTAGTGCCCATTCAGTGTATGAATAAGTTCTTTTCAGGACTCCTATAACAAACATATCAATAAGCTATTATGCTAATAAGTTACTAGCCCCTCTAGCTTCCTATGTAACTCCACAATGAAATATTGCCTCCTGTTTAATATTTTTTCTACATTACTTAAAACATATTACAGTGTATGAATTTGCAGCTGAAACCAAGCAGAAATTCTATTACAAATTTAATGATAAATAAGTCACATGCTAACGTTTGAAGAATTGACTGTTTAGTAGAGCTTACTGCAAAATACATTTCCTGAGCTGCTGCTTAACTGGAGCCTGCTCAGAGCTGACACATTCCTTGTGCTGAGATGTACCTATTGTGGTTCTTTGCAACGCTGTGAGGTTCTTAGGGTATATGTATGTGTTCCTGTGTGACTCGTTCAGTCCAGCGGTTGTCTTAGCATAGTGTTTAATGCATGATGGTTGTAATACTGCACAAAGTGTTATACTTTCTGACAGTGTTGATTTCCAGCAATCCTGAGAATCCTTCTGCAGCTACAGGTAGGTGATGCACTGTTCAGTCTGCTCAACTCTGACTACGGGACATAGGCTCAAACTGAGGCCCATCAGACTGGAAGAGTTAATGAAGGCTGACTGTCAAATGATGTAGGAATTGTTTCTTCAGCAGTTTCTGTATCTTTATTTTTTGAGGCTGCTGCAGTGCTGCCAGTTGGCCCTTGAAGTGCCTCTCTTATCTGGTTTCTGTGGGAAGAGATCATTTAAATCTAAAATTAGGGCTGTGTACCATAAAGGGCCAAATTCAGGGTTCTCTCTTGTAGTCCCATAAGGGGTCATGTTCAGCAGGATTAATGCATCCTATAACAGAGGTACGGAGAGCCTGTGCAAGAGCACTCCATGCCCCAGTAGCTCACTATAATATTGCCAATCTGACCTTTGTGGTGCATCTCTTGGGGGCTATGGGAATGGGAAATTGGACATTTTGCTCTCAAATAAAAATGTTGCCAGTGTGCCTTGCCCCTCCCTCAGTGAATTGCCAGAGAGACATTTGTGACGGGTTTCCCAGGGGATCAGGGCAGGCAGAATGGGAAATTGGACATTGTGCTTACAGATAAGAGTGTTGTCAATGTGTCTGCAAACAGCCTCGTTGTACATAACCAAAAACCTCTGTAGAAGGAGCAATAATAGGCATGTCTGCTACTCCCCTCTGCCGCCACATAGCCAGCAGTACCTGCTGATGGCCTGGGTATGCACTGCCAACCTGCACATACTTTTCTTTATGATGATTATGTCTTCCCTCAGCCTATCTGTGTTGCAGCTCATTTTCACACAGGTAAAGCACTTTCATCCTTACCTTGATTTTATTAGCTCTTCAGTAAGGAATGATTATTGTTTTTTATAACCAGTTTGTTTATTTTATCTGCTTAGAAAATGCCTGCCCCTAGGAACTTAAGATATAACTAAAAACACGTCCACACCCAATCAACAAGATCTAAAGTAAGTGAAGGTGAGAACAGAATGCATCTATTAAACAGGGAGTCACACCTAGAGCACGTGTTCTGCTTACTGCAATGGTTGCCTCCTGATGGGTGTAGGACCTTTACAACGCTTAGTGGTTTGGTAGAAGGCTGTTTCTAAGACCACTTTCCTCCTCCTGACAAGCTGTTGCAGTTGTGACCAGCAGAAGCATTTGAAGTGGAGCTCCCTCAGTATAAAGGAGAGGGAACTATGGGCAGGGTGTTCTTTGTGAAGGCCTGCTGATTCTGGAATGCACTTCCCTACCCAGATTTGTTGGAGCCCTGATCTATTTACCCTCTGAATATAGTGCAAGGCCCATGTTCCCTCCAGGGCACCTGGGGCAGTGCTATAGTATACTGTTAGGAAATGGCTTTTGTGACAGCTTTTTTGTTCCTATGGGAGATTTTTAAACGTAACATTAATGGCTGGGAAGTTCCTATTTTTATTTACAAAGTATTCTGTTATGGGAGGGGAAGGTGCTGTAAACTGAATTTGAGGGCAGTTAGTTTTTTGCCATTTCAATATCTAATAAATAATCAATATTTATAAACAAGAGAGGGGGTTACCATATTTTCTCACATATCATGTGCTCCAGAGGATAATATGAATCTTGTTTTTGAAAAGCAGGATGAAGGAAAAAAAAAAGGTTTTTCCAGAATTATGGCTGCATAGAGCAGGAACAGGGTCTAATCTTCAGGGAATTCATCCTCCTTTTCCTGCTCAACTAAAGCTGAAACCTCAGCTGTTGCTGAAGACTGCTCTCCTTAGGTGGATAGAGCTAAGGAGTCTCCCAGACTGTGAAATATGAGAAGAGAGATCTGGAGCAGCTAGCATCTGGCAAAATTGCTCTAAGAAAGATGAGCTTGATTAGTGGAACATTCAGGACTATTAAAAAGAAGAGATGATCATTAATACCTCTAGGGTGAAGAACAGTGAGCCATTACGTCAAGTGACTCCCTCAGCTGCCTGAATAGTAATGTAACAGTTGCTGTACTGTGGAGCAGGAATCAAAGCAGGGTGCTTCCATCCCAGGCAGAAAATCAGCTTCCCCACTTAATAAACACACTCCAAATTTTGAGGGGCTGATTTTGGGGAAAACACTCTTCAGTAAACAAGGGTTGCATCTGTATTGGCTTATGTTTTTAAATGGTCTTAAAGGTATAGGTAAACCCTTGAAAGAGAAACTAATGTTGTCCAATCCACATTGACACAAGCATGGATTCCTGTAGCAAGAGTTGCATTCAAAAGTAAAGGCTGTGTCTTTCTTGTTGACTGGTGATCAGAGTGTAACTGGCCAGTACTGCACTCTGGGCATGAGCAGCAACTGGAGGTTCACTGTGGAACATGTCGTTTCCTTTTTTTGCGATTTTAACACTGTCTTTTCATAGGAAAAAAATGAGGTGACATCTCCCCTAGAAGCAGTGAATCACTGGCCACAGCTCCTGAACAGAACGCTACTGCCACAGCTTTGCCTTTCTCACTGTTGGAGCTGGAGCTACTTCAGGGAAGATGCAGGGGATGAGAGATAGGGATGAGAATGGGGAGGGTGAGGAACCTTCTTGCTCTAATCTGGTGCCAACCCCCCAGGCTTAAGCAGTGCCTGGGACTTGTGCCTTGTGTGCCCACGCATCCTTACACTACTGTCGTTGTTAAGAGAAATCAGTTTTGGCTATACATGCTGCCTGGTGATCTAGCACAGGTGTGGTAAACATGCAGCCCACTTGCTGCAACACCATTTGGTTTCTGGTACTTCTCCTGGGTCTAAGCAGATCCATCAAGGGCATGGTACATGCCAGACCAGCCTCACAGGCAGGGCCCATGACATGCGCTGCACCCCAGCCACTCTGAGACTACACCACAGAGCGTACTACTGTTCCGGCTAGAATAGGTGCTGCATGTAGAGCAATCTGGATGTGGGAGTGTCGACTAGATCCCAGACTGGCTCGAGTGGGCACCATGCTATACATGATGCCTGTTCTGTTTGGACTGTAGCTCACGCAGCATCGGCCCTGGAATGTACACCCTACATGGTGCCTGCCCCAGCAGCTCTGGGGCTGTGCCACATGTGATGCCTGCTCCAGTCAGTCTGTGTGCAATGTGGGTCCCAGACTGGCTGGAGCGGGTGCCGTGTGCAGCATGGTTCCCAGCATGGGTACTGTGTGTGGTGCAGTCCAGCTGGGGCAGGCTCTGTGTGCAGTGTGGTGCCGGCTTTAGCCAGTCTGGGATCCATGCTACATGCCCCTGGCCAAACAATGCTGCACTTGCACTTGTTCCAGCTGCTCTAAGACCCATGCTGCACACAGCACAGGTCCCAGACTGGCTGGAACAGCA